AGAGCATACAATGTGGAACTGATGGGTAGCCGCCAGCCATGTCAGTTACCTAAGGAAACTCATAATCGCCAAAGAGGAAGAGCGACCCTTATTGATAATGTGGCATATTGCCAGGTTGTCAGAAAAGCAACGTACGGATTGACCTTTCCACAACCTACACCAAGTGACGGCTGCAGCAACTATCGGGTATACTTCAAATAGGGCTGAGTTAGTGTGAAAACCCTCAATGTCCTGTGTTTCTGTAGGCCAGGTCCCCCAGAGCCATTCTGTGCCATAATGATGCCGTGTCTGTCCAAATGACCGGTGAGTGTGAATCAATCTGCGGGAGGAACATGCTCCTCCCATTCCAGTCCGAGAGGAATTTGTAATATATCTGGAGGTCAGCGGTCGCAGGACAGTCCAAGGATATGCAGACATAGTCATTGGAGAAAGTGGGGAACAGGGTGAGGAGCCTAGAAATGAAAGCCCTGCCCTGGGGGATAATGCGCATGGCGAAATTTAGTGAACCCAAAAGTGATTGCAGTTCTTTACAATTGCAAGACCCCCTGTGCATGTAGTGACTAATGTCGTGTAGGATGTGAACGATATTACCTCTCGCCATCATTGTTGATGAATCCAACAGAATACCAAGAAAGTTTATAATTGTGTCCGGTCCTTCGGTTTTAGTGGGTGACACGGGGACACCAATAATAGTTTTATTGCTTTGTTTAGACTACGTGGGGGGTGGAATTGGATTCGATGAAGAGAAAATCATCTAAGTAATGTATCACATTTGGGCACCTGCAGGTATTTAAGAGGAGCCAACACAAGGCTTCTGCGAATGTGTCAAAAATCCTCGGACTACTCTTGGCCCAGAAAGTGAGCTTTGTAAAGAAGTAGTAAGCTTCTTGCCACTTAACGCCATGCAGGTGCCACAAAGAGGGGTGAATAGGTAATAATTTGAAAGCATCTACAATATCTGTCTTGCTGAGCCAAGCCCCCAACCCTGCAGATCTGATAGCTGCAATAGTGTCATCAATCGTGGAGTATTGTAAGGAAAATTCTTCAGATGAGTTTAGGCTGGGGATGGCTGAGGACTGGGGTGCGGATAAGTCAATGATGAGTCTCAGTTTCTCAGAATTTTTGCTGGAAACCAGCCCGATAGGGTTAGTTCTCCAGCTGGAAAAGGGGGGGTTAACAAAAGGCCCAATGACAAATCCCTGATCCACTTCAAGTTGTAACAATGTGGTGACTGCCGTAGGGTGGTTAGTGGCAAACTGTAAATTGTGACACTCTATTACCCCAGTTGGCATGTAAATGAGCCCTGTGTGAAAACCCTGGGTGAGACCTGTACATAAAAATTCAACGAGGAGTGTGGAGGGGTGAGTGGACAGCATACGTGCGAGTAAAGGAATGTTCACCGGAGACAAATAAGGTTTCTGGTACATTTTATTAGGGCACATGGATTTCGCATGTGCCCTGAAACAATGCGAGCACACGTGTAGTAAGCGGGAGGCGCTGTAACCGCAGGAGCCCTCGTTGAAATTATTGCAAATCTGAGATTTGCCTAGATACACTACTGGATGACCCAGTTTGTCTCTAGTCTGTTTCTCAGCCTTTGGGGGATGCTGTAAGGATGAGCCGGGAGCGCTGTCCGGACAGAGCGGGCAGAAATTGGCTGCGTGAGCGGGTGATGTACATATGGCACAAGCTGGTGTCCTAAGCCCCGCGAAATATCTGAGGAACAGTTCATTGTCCAGTTGGCTCCAATCCATCTGGATGCCATACTGAGACAACGTGGCAGACACTTTTGATGAAAAGGACTTGTGGTAGTCGTAAAAAGTATAGCCGCCATACTTATTACCAAGGTCCACCAGCTTATGCATATATAGATCGAGTTCCTCCCTCCTATGGGGATGAGCCGTGCATAGAATATCTCTAAACATACCGATGGCCAGAACAAAATCAGGAATGGTGAGTTTCTTACTGAGTCTGGGGTCTCTGGCTTTTAAAACCACAGAGATGTCCCCGTAGTCGTAAGACCGGTTTTCCACGATATCCTGGGAGGCAATGAGCAGTGAGACTAAGTTAATTTCCTTGCCTTCCAGGATGTCCTTTTTAAGATTGGCCGGAACCATGTGGGCAGGATTAATAACGTGGGCGGCTGCCTTGGTGGGTATGGAATTACCCGTTATTGCTGTGGGTATGGCCGGGATTATTTCGGAGAGAGGGCCAGGAGGCTGTGCAGGGAAGCTACGGGCTTCCAGCCTCTCCAGCCTGTCGTTGACCTTCCCCATAGAAGAGATTAGGGAGGCAACCATAGCATGGAGAGTCTGATCTTGAGAGCTGCTTGTGCCTTCCCCTGCATCTGTATTAACGGTATTGGTTCTTAGCAATTTGAACAGTTCTGCTTTCCTGGCAGTAGCCGGGAAGGGAATACTGCATTTAAGTAATTCTGCAGTGATGCGGGGGATAGTCCATGATCTGATGGACGAGGGACTTCCCGTGTCGCCCTTGCGGGTCGGAGTAAGTGACCTAGCAGCGGTGCTAGGGATTACATGTCCTCACCATCGTCTGGGAGTAGGGACATACTGAAAATATATAATAGACATGTTGGTAACCAGGGTTGGGAATTTACAGGTGGCTAGCTAGTGCCAGATGGCAAAAGATTATTCTAGGTTTGTGGCAGGTGAGGCCCTGCTAGTGCCAAGTGGCTAGAGAGGCTCTATCTATGAGTTGGCGCGAGGGGCGTGTTAACCTATACTGGTGATGGGACGTTGGCCTCTCCATGCGTGGGGGGGGATGGGTATTTGGCGGTGACTGGTGTTGCCCTCTCTATATAATTTACGAGGCGACTATGATTTGGCCCGAGGGGTGTATAGTACCTCGAAGTGGAGGATGGGAGTTGGCCTCGCGGACCGCTAGGACTAAGGGGCAGGGAAAATAACTAAACGGCCATGTTGAAAATAACGTGAAACCAACATACCTGCAGAAAAAGCTGGGCTGCCAGAGCAGGTCGGGCCGGGCTGGAGAGCCGGTCAGGTTCTAGGGGCCGGTGGTGCCGGGCTGACGTGCCGGTCGGGCCAGGCTGGAAAGCCGGTCGGGCTGTGGAGTTGGTGGCACTCACCGTGTGACATAGAGAAAAGCTACGTGTCTCACCGGAAGTGACGTCACGTAACAGGAAGTCGGAAGGAAAGGATGCCGGCAAGTATCACCCTGTTCGTCCAGACCAACGAAGGTAAGTAAGGGAAGGGGGGAGTCCCTTAAGTAGCTCTATAGCCCCTCCCACAACTTCAGGCCATGCCTTCCAATATATAAAATATCAGTATTTCTCATGTATATTTAGCCATGGCAAGTAGAAATTCACTCCTAGTTAGTATGCCATTACTTGCAGTGGTGAGTAACTTTTTAAGTCTGGTGAGTAGTGTAAGAGTTAAACCTTTGAGTCAGGATTTTTGTGTGTGTGTGTGTGTTATTTTCTGTTCTTTTTTTGCTAACTTAAGCAGAGCATCCTTGCACCACCAAACATGGTAAAAAAAAAAATTTAAACAATAATAATTTAAACAAAATCAAGTGCCATATTATACTTCACCTACCTTGTTAATTTCATACTCCAAATTAGTGTTTATTCATAAGCTCCATCTGTTCACCTGGAGTACAGGTTTAAGTACATAATAGAAAAGGTGGCAGGAGAATTAACTCATACTCTTCCACATGTGTTGCATTGTTATCATTCAACAAACTTGGTGCGGTATGAGTTAATTATTTCTCAGAAATGCTGTAGCTTTCTATGGTATTGTATGGTTCTTAAAGGGACACCATAGGTTGCTATCAATCTATATTTGTAGTTATTTTAGTAATAATACATTAAACAAATTAAACAAAAAAGATAACATGATTTGCAGGTTCCGTCAGCAAGCTCTGCCCACACTAGGAAGTAGCTGATACTTGTCAGCCAATCCTAGCCATTCCATTATTTTAAATGACAATGGGCATTTCTGTTAAATTCCAGCTATACCAATATGAATGTAGGTATAATATAGGTGATACAAAAATGTTTAAAATATTCAACCAAAATGTAACATTGTACTTGCTTCAGTTATGTGTTTCTAACATCCCCTACATCCTGCATCCTGTATACATGGGCTATTATTTTCTCAGGATTATGACAGGTATGCAAAATACATCTAAACAATAATGCTCTAAACATCCTTTAATGTTATTTACTACCTGATTTCCAAAACAGGCATTTAGCCTACATTATAAACTGTGTGTTCTTTTTTTTTTTGTGAATGGAATTCAGGAAACTGCAAATGAATGCTTCTATGAAGCTATGAATTAATGGTTTGAAAAGGTGATCTTATATCAATCATTAAACCACTTTAAATAGCTTTCTTGGTGGGATTCTTTAAACAACATTTTGACCAACAATTTTCTATCAAAGCAAACTGAATTGCATTCTGAGTGTCACAGCTCTAGCTTGTAAAGTGTTAACCACCAAAATATAATTTATGGTCAAAAAGCATTAGATTACTTCAGAGAGAAAAAAAAATAATCAAAACGATATTTTATTGTAGAGAGAAAGGAAAAGAAAGTAATGAAACCAGCCTTGCACATAAGCGAAAAAAGATTCAGCAGTGAAGGAGTTAAGCTTTGTCTAGGGCTTACAGAAAAGCTTGTCAAGAGCGTCTTTCCAAACGACAAATGGCTGAATTAAATAGAAACTGTCTATATATTTTGCTATCACAAGTCCCAGATGCATTCCTGGCCAGAATTCCTTCCTTTGTCAGATTCAGCTTTTTGTGCAGCAGGGGCTTTGCAGGGATGTCTCTTTATTTCGTTCTTTGCATGCATCTAATTTTAGCTCTCTGGAAGGTTAGGAATCTGAGAAATATTATGGCACCATTCAAACCCCTCTGTATAAGAGTGAACGACCAGTAGAGGGTTTGCTAAAGGCTTGGAATCGTGATAGAACGTTCCCTAGCTCTGATTATTTCACTAGCTCTCAGTGCTGGGGAGAAGGGGGGTCATTGGCTATGTTTTACAGGTCTCTGCCTCACTGTGGGATCTTCTGCCTGGCAACTTTGGTTTGGTGATAATACAGATCCAGAGGCATTTTGTAGAGATTACATTAATCCATTCTTCAGTTTGGAGAACTGGCTGGGGAAGGTCACACAGCTGTGCTGCATGATTCGGGATAAAGCAAAAATTCTGGTGGACAAGGCACTCCCAGGGATAATGAAGAGTCACCAGTGGTAACCCCCTCCCCAACCTCACCACTGCCACCTCACCCACCACCACCTCCTCTTTTCCCATTTCGTCCCTCCCCCTCTGCACTTTCTTCCAAAACATCCTTGTCTATAAACTTTGATGGAGAATTATACACAGGGCTGGAAAAATGCCTGTTATGAAAGGATTACTGGCACCTCAGAACACCTTCTTAGATACCATAGCTACTAGATTTGATGGAACACGTAAGTCACATCTTTGGAAACATTCATTAAAGCCACTTCTATGCTCTGTTGGATTCTATTTTGTTTGGACGTTTGAGCTTGCAAACTGCATTGTGTGATTGAAAATGCAACGATTTAGCTAGTAAGACTGTCCTTTTCAGTTTAGCTCCTGCATCGTTTGGTAACTTTACCCCTCTGTAAAGTCAGTCATACCTGTCTTTATCACAGAGACAGTCGTTATTTTGTTGCCTGTCTCCCTAAATGCTAGGCATGTGAAGATAAATGCTTGTCTATTGAGACATTAATGTCGAGTTCAGCTTAATTCATTTCAGCACCTTGGACAGCTCCTAAGTTTGCCTATTTCAATTGCTGAGTGTGTTCTCTCATTAAGCTATTAAAAGATGCTCTCTTTTAATATTTAGCAAAATACAGCAAATGTTTTATATTTTTGGGAGGGGAGGCATCATAATTAGGGGTATAGTTATTAAAAAAAATATATAGATAACTTGTATCGTAGCAGATGCTACTGGATACGAATTAGTACATTTGCTCACAGTAAGACACTGTTCTTGAAAGCTAGCTTGATCGCAGAAGTTTTATTTGATGTGAAATCCACAGCCAAGTTAACCTTGAAGAGAATGTGCGTGTGAAACATACTTTGCTCCTAATTATTGTTCAAGCCAATGTATTTGATGCTGACAGCACAGCAACATACAGTTTTTTTTTTTACTTTGATATTTATTTCACACCATAATAATGTCTAGGTTTAAGCAACCTGCAAAATGGGAACGTTTTCTGATAAAGACTTCACACTATAATTCTTGAAATATTATTTAATGTAATATGTTAACAGGACTGATGATAAAGTGTATGTTCATGCATTTAGTGCTATGTGATTATTTGTGCAATTTAGTTACTGCTCATTTTTGCTCATAACCCTTAAAACTTACTTCCATTTATTAAATTAATCAAATGCCCCTGCTGCTGTATCTAGCCTTTGTATGAAATATTTGTGGACTAAAAGCTGTAATTCAAGCCTTTTTTCATTTTTTTTTTTCAATTTCTCTTCTGATAGACATGTTTGAACAATAGGCTATCTGGTTCAACGTTAGTATGTAATCAAGGTTATTTGAGAAGTTTACATTAATAAAACTCAATAGATGATAGTTGGTGTAAGTTGGGGACAATATGATACTCTACTTAATAAAAGAGCTAGCTGCTTTGATAATGTCCTATTTTTGTGAGGCTGTACATTAGTTTCCTGTAAATAAATCCGTAGTTCTCTAGGAATGAGCTTAGTGATTTCAGTAAAGCAGATTGGAGGGAAAACATATTTAATAAAGATAATCTCAAGTCTAATGTTTTGAAGGAAGGCACATAAATACCCAATCATGCTTTCATTAGGAAATTGATTTTTGCATGAACCACTGCTTTTAAAGATGCTTTGATGAGACCAGTACTGATGTTTAATAAAGCATACAACAAACAATATATCTTTAAATGTACTAATGTGCAATGGGATCTTAATCAGTACTTTGTCAACTTCTCCCTTGAACATTCCACAGACCAATTTCCATTTCATGAATTTCAAATATTGTTTCCTGAGAATGCACTTATTTGCTGGAGAAAACCATTTGAGACTTATATGATTGAATAGTCATCATTACTCAATTAAACACTTATTATATACTACACATTCAGATATATGTCTATAAACGTCATTATTTAAAAAAAATTATAATTTTTTTATCTAAAATGTTAATAAAGTTGATAATTTAATGTGTAATTTCTAAACTACTTAAAAAAGAAATGTAAATTATTATATTGGTTGATTTTTCCAAGTGCTAATGTTTTATATATGTGAAGTATTCTTTTTGTTAGATCGGTGATGCTTAACATTTGCCCCGCAGATATTTCTAAACTACATATCCCATGATGCTTAGTCTACCTTGGCTGGTTGAACATCATGGAAAATTTGGTCCACAAACATCTGGGGTGCCCATTTTAGTCAGTGCTGTTTTAAATAGATCATACACAGATGACTGAAGATAATGCACTTTTTTAATTTAAGCATATCACATTGGATGGATGCAGTATGCTGTCATCAATGATAGACTAATCCACTACTGAATCTCTAATCCAGGGAGAATTAATTATAGTGCTGACCAACAGTGCAGACAAGGATTCCAGATTTCATCTACAAAAATGCTTCAAATTACATTTGACTTTTTTTCCACTTAAATATGTGATATTTATTGTAATGAAGAATGTCTAAGGTTGTTGTTCAAACAGTGACATCTAATTATAGTGTAATATCAATATTTAATGTGACAATATTCAATACAAGAAGAGTGTAATTCTGATATTTTAAAGAATGTATATAGAAATGTGGTTATTATAGTGTTTTGAGATCAATAGTTATATTTCATTATTTAACCCCTTAAGGACACATGACGGAAATATTCCATCATGATTCCCTTTTAATTCAGAAAGTTTGTCCTTAAGGGGTTAAATATTTTTTTTTTAAAGTCTCCACACACCAGACTATGTTGCTGTTTTACAAATAAAGGATTATTGACACATATTGACTAAATTATCAAAACAAGGATGCCAACTTTGCTATCTTTCCAGCTCACCTATTTTGGCCGATGTTTCGGAGTACAGCATTATTAAGAAACTCAACAGTACTTATTTAGTAATCTTTGGGTGGGCAGAAAGGTTAGAATACCTTTTCAGTAAACACATACGTATCCCTTAGCTTTGAACAAGTTGTGGACGTTTTATGGACCTAACCCAACTTGTTTGCCAATACGAATGTTAAACCGGTATGTCATGTGACAAGTGGTATCTGGTAAGATATTCTTAATATGAAACCATGTATACCCAGTTTGCCAGAAGAGGGGTAGACAACCTTTGGCACTCCAGATGTTGTGGACTACATATCCCCTGATGCATTGTCATCATTAAGGCTTTAAAAGCACTATGTAAGATATAGTCCACAACATCTGGAGTGCCGAAGGTTGTCTACCCTTGGATTAGAATAGCAGGCTTGCTATGAGTGACACATTCACTAAAAGTGAGTTGTTCGATGAAAGATTTAGGCACATTTTAGGCAACTTGGGTAAAGTGGATATTTTTTCCAACTTAATTTGGCCTGAATTGTGTGTGTTTAATAAACACAACCCACTTTTAGTTTTCTTTCTCTCATGGCAGTCAAAAAGGTTTTCAAGGTGGTATTCAAGGCCTTGTAGATTTGGCATGGATCTTCATACATGCAGTAACTTAAATACAGGAATACAAATTGGAATACACTGATGCTATTTTGGGTTCTTTGTTGATTATCATTTTTTCATTACATTTGTAAACAGAATTAGCTTGAGTTTAATGACTATGTAAGCAATGAATAAACAGTCTCTGACATCCATTCATTAAAGCTGTTACCATTCATTAGACCAGTAAATTAAAAGCCTTTCCTCTAATTCTATCCTAACTGTTATATTCTGACAAGCACAATATCTGTAAATGAAATGAAATTTGAAAGGTTAAGATCTGTTATGGTACAATTTAGTAATTGCTCCGATTTCCCTTCAACATCCTAGAATAGGCTTTTATAAAGAATTGGCATTTTTGTATTGCTCGAGAATGTGAGGATTGTAATCTAAAAATAAAATTTGGTGATATTGGCTACAGCATTGGATGTAGAGTCAGTGCAATTTTGTTACTCTCTCTTAAAGGGGAACTGTGTGTCTAAAATTGCTTATATATTTTTAAAGTCTATGAGTAAGTGTTTCAAAAAATTTAAACATTTGCTACATATATTCCCATAACTAAAAAGCTGGCCTTTTTAATAGCTGCAGAACAGGCATCTGTAATCTAATAAAGAACCAGTGGTGGAGCTAAGAAACAGTCAGCCCCAGTGTTTTAGTCACTGTCTTGGAAACTACCCCGCACCACACTTCTTTCCTCAGCTACTGGGACGAGTAGAGTAATGTCTCACACACTTTCAGTGTTGCTGGGGTGGTTACTCTTAGATCACCCATAGGCTGTACAATGTGCAGAGTGGCTCCAGCTGATGACTGGAGTGTCCCTGTCTCATCCCATATCCCCACTACAGCATTGAGAATCATAGATGGGAAGGGTGATTGTCTGTCAGTCACACAGAGCAGTGTCCCTCACTTATTCTCTTCCTTGATGCTGGCTGGGCAGCTGTCAGCAGCCGACTTTGAGCTGTCTCTGTCAATGCTGGTGAGTTAACACTCATCTCAACCAAGTCTCAACCCAGCCTCCACTCCTTCAAAAATTAATGAAATCTCACTTCTTCATAAAAGCGTATCAATTAAACTGTCAATAGTTACTAACTGTTTCCTCTCCTGCAACTGTCATTACTTCTCTAATACTACCCTTACCTTTTGTGTCACTTTACCCCACTCCCTCTAGCATGTTAGCTCATTGAGCAGGGCCCTCAACCTCTCTGTTCCTGTGTGTCAAACTTGTCTGGTTACAACTACATGTTTGTTAGTCCACCCACTGTAAAGTTCTGCAGAATTTGCTAGCTCTATATAAATAATAATAATAATCTCACCCACCACTCACCACTGGTGACAGCCATCCAGCTAGTTCTCCAAATGCCATGAACTCTCTCAAATGCTACTCCTCTCAATCAGTCCTTCATCACGTTCTCCCGCCCTGCAGACTAAAGTACTGGCACATTGTTAACAGAGAGAGAATGGCAGGCCCAGTATCAGTCTCACCCTAATTTTTTTTAAGTATTATTTTTTTATGTGTCTAAGATGGTGAATTGCAAGAAAAAGCTGTTAGGTACTAGATTTCTTCTCAGG